TTTCTGGCCTGTGCAGCGGTGCAGCTAACCGTTCTATACATCTATTCTATGGTACATATCTATGCGTAAACTAACTCCCACGTAAAGTTGCAATTTCAAAAAAGAGCGGGAGATCTGATACGCCCACAATGGCTACCACAACAGAGGACATTTCAGTTGAAGAACTCTCTTCTCCTCCGCCTCCCATTCCTCCATTGACAAGGAAGATATTCTCTCCCACTGGACGGGAGACTAACGAAAAGAGCAGGACCCCAACCCTCAAAGCTTTCCGTGGGATATGGCAGGCAAAAGTAAAGCCTGTGAATCAGAATGTGATAGAATTACAGCAAAAGAGAGAGGAGGAGAAGAGAGTGTTCGTCTCTCCTAAAGAAGAGGATAGCCCAGTCTCCATCTCTTCACAGAAAGCTCCTTCGGTATTCCAGATAGATTTAGGTAACAATGCTAGAACATAAATGGATTTTAATTTGTGGGTATATATATATATGTAATTTTGCGAATTTGTCTAGATTTGATATTTGTAAGAATAAAATTTTGCAAGTAACAACTTTGGCAGCCATTTTCCCCTATTGTGTACTTTGCAGATTCAATTTTGTTAATTAACAGAAAATGTAAGAGTTTATGAGCAGAAATTGATTAATGTTATTCCCCTCCATTTCTCCTCCCTCCTCTCTCCCTACAGATGCCTCTGAAATAAGTGACAAACATTCCGACAGTACGGTACAGGTCAAAGTGACACGCCCACGGCAGCTATGGCAACCACTGTCGTCTTGGAAACGGAGGAACAAAGTTGTACCTAGTCCTCAAGCAAAACAAAAAGTCTCTGTAGCAACCGAACTTCTCTCAAGTAGCAAGACATTGGGCGATAAAGAGAACCTGGGACCACCATCGTCACCTCCTCCTCCTCCTCCTCTTCATCCTCTTCGTAGGAAAATGGAGAAACTGAATATAACATCATCTGAGGATTTGTTGAGTACCTTTACTCCAGTCAGCCCTTTCTATCAACAACCAGAGGGTGAGAGGGAGGGGAGGGAGAGAGAGAGAGGGAGAGAGAGGGAGGGAGAGAGAGAGAGAGGGAGGGAGGGAGAGAGAGAGAGAGAGAGAGCAGATGTGCATTTATTAAAGAAATTCCCTATAGCATTCGCTCTTTTCTTCACACCTGCTGCTGTATGTTCACACAATTGTCTGAACATTTTAGTGAGAAATCTTTACCGTCTGTACTCTTTGTTGAAGTAGTAAATCAATTAGTTTAATTTTAATTTTTTTAGAATATTCGACTCCAATTGCATCTCCACTGCCTCAGACTCTCAACACACCAGAGTACAGCAAAATAAAGAAAAAGAATAAAAAACAGGAACATCCTCCTCCTTTATCCCCACCCTCCCCACCGTACCGAGGGGACAACCCCCGCTATGCACAATCCTTCCTCTCCTCTCCCTCTTCCCTTGTCCCTGAAACAGTCAACAATAACGTCATTAAGGTTTTATCACTATCGGACGACAAGGATTCACTGTATGAGTCTCTTCTTGAAGACCCAGAAGCTCATACTTATAGTGAAGTTATTGGGTCAGCTCCTACTGGTCACGTTCAACTCATCTCCATCAAAGGAAGACAGTCAGATGAGATCTTAGACGAGGGAGCTTCCATGGAAGCGGGGGCCCTACCCTCTCCTTTCTCCTCAACTCAAATGCTCCCCATACATCATGCTGCTGCCAAGGGGGACAAGAAAGAGCTAGCCGAGGTTCTGGGACAGCTTCCAATGATCCAAGACCCCGTGGAAAGGGTCCTGGGTAGTAAGAAGTTTTGCGTAAGAGAGGGGGTTGATGTTAAAGATGGAGAGGGAAGGACAGCCTTGATGCACGCTGTACATAATGATCATACTGACTGTGTCCAGTTACTTATTAAAGCTGGAGCTAATATCAATATTGAAGCAACAGGTAATGAGAGCTAGGAGAGGAAGAGAGGGAGAGAGAGAGAGGGAGAGAGAGAGAGTGAGAGAGAGAATGCTACATGTATACATAAGCTATAATTTGTATAATAATTATTATTAAGAATATGGCATACAGTACTTGATAATGTATGAGTGGTTCACCATTAGATGATCATAGCTCAATAATTTTGTATATTCTAATAATGTTTATTGTGTTGTTTTCTTGTCCTTCAGATGGTAGTACTTGCCTTCATGAAGGAGCTTATTCTGGTAGCTTGAAGATGGTTGCATTGCTACTGAGCTTAGGAGCTGATGGAATGAAAAAGGTAATAGCAATAACTCTAATTATTACATTTGGCTGAAAGACTGTGAACTATTATAGGGTATTTTATCAAAATTGGCTGGGCGACAAATTTCCATTTTTATAATTTACTTTTTATACATGTACATGTACTTATATTGTGTAGAAAGTTTGAGCTAGTTTTGATCAAGATTGGATTTTTAAAGAATTTTTAAAGTACAGGGTCTCGGGCCAAATTTGGCCAAAAATGAAAAGGTACGAATTCTCCATTTTTATTACATTTTCTGATGCATATACATGTACTTATGTTGCATAGAAAGTTTGAAACAATTCCGATCAAATTTGCATTTCTTACGAATTTTTTAAGTTTCTCAAAAATTGGGCAAAAGTCCCTGTACTATAGTACATGGTCACAGGCCAAATTTTGCCAAAAATGAAAAGGTGTGAATTCTCCATTTTTATTACATTTTCTGATGCATATACATGTACTTATGTTGCGTAGAAAGTTTGAGCTGGTTCTGACCAAGATTGGATTTTTTATGAATTTTTATAATTACTCAAAAATTGGGCCAAAGTCCCTGTACTATAGTACATGGTCACAGGACAAATTTTGCCAAAATTGACAAGTGGAGAATTCTTCATTTTTATAACTTTATCTGATGTATATACATGTACTTATGTTGTGTAGAAAGTTTGAGCTGATTCCAATCAAGATTAGATTTTTTACAAATTTTCAAAGTTACTCAAAAATCACGCCAAAGTCCCTGTACTATATAGTACGTGATCATTAGCCAAATTTTGTCAAAAATGACTAGAAGAGAATCCCATATTTTTATTATATTTCTGATACATATGTTCATGTTCTTATGTTGCTTCTCTCATAGGACAATGATGGCCGCCTCCCTCTCCATTGGGGCACTAATAATTATAATTCTGACTGTGTCAATATACTACTGGACAAGGTACATGTGTATACATGTACATGTACATGTAATACTTGTCAATTATGATATACTTAATAATTATGATAATTGCTACACATTTTACACTGCAATTTTTATTTATTAACAATGATTAATTTTATTGATAATTTCTAGTGCTTTAAAGTAAAATTCTCTTCTATTGTTTTATTCAGGTTCCAGGGTTGAGTCCTAATGAGGTCGATGGTTCCCAAATGACGCCTCTTATGTGGGCGGGGTTTCATGGCCGGCCTGATAACATGGAACTACTCAAGCAAAGAGGAGCAGGTAGAACACGGATCTTATGAAAATTTATAATTTGTCAACTTTCTTTTCCTGTTATTTTTTTCAGATCCTGGATTAGTTGACTGTGAAGGAATGAGTGCACTTCATTGGTCAGTGAAGTCACGTGACCTCAAAACGCTTCAAGTATTAATTAATTAATTAATTATATTTAATTATTATTTATTTATTTGTAGTTGCTGTTGACTCCAGAGTCAGTCGGACTTCAAGATGTTAAAGGGAAGACTGTCATGCACTTTATAGCTGAGAATGTAATTCCTTACTGTAATAAATAATTTAAATATGTGCATGTAAAGTTGCAGATTGTTAACATGTGTGGGAGAAATAGAGGTAAAAGGAAAATTGTTTTATTATCAACAACGAAAAAATACAGCAAAGATATACCTACATGTACGATGTAGCATGAATCAATCTTTATTATTATTATTATTATTATTATTATTATTTTTATAGGGGTTTTCTAAGGCAGTTCCTATTGTTAAAGGCACTAGTCCACTTAATATCAATGACACTGATCATAACAAGTGAGTACAAATTCTCTTTATGCATGTACTGTGATATCCTATTGTATATACATGTATTATGTACTGGTACAGGAGGACTGCACTCCATTGGGCCACTGTATGTGAGAAACCTGATGTCATTAGAGCCCTACTAGCAGCTGGAGGTAATGATTAGACTTACATGTACATAGATTGGGAGAGGCTCTTTGAATCAGTTTTATAATAGTTTAACTCCATATCGATTCTCTTATACATGTAAATCAGAAACTTTTGAGCTATGGCTTTCGAGGCATATAAGATAACTCTCTCCTCCTCTCTCCCTCTCTCTCTTTCCCTCTCTCTCTCCCCCATCTCTCTCTCTCCGGCTCTCTCTCTCTCCCTCTCTCTCTCTCTCCCTCTCTCTCTCTCCCTCTCTCTCTCTCCCTCTGGCTCTCCCCCTCTCTCTCCCCCTCTCCCCCTCTCTCTCTTTCAGCTGATTCTAATATCCAAGACACCCAAGGGATGACTCCATTGGATTATGCCCTCAAGAAGAGGCTCCCATATTGTGCCCTTCTCCTCACACAAGCTCAAGACATCAAGTAAGGAATATTTAAAATGAAAGTAATATAATTTTAATATAAAAGATATTTATTATCATTTTTATTATTATTATTATTATTATTATTATTATTATTATTATTATTATTATTAAAATGGGCAGTACACAGTGTCCTTTGAAATGGTTCTTGATAATCTTATTTCCCTTATAAGACTCATGTGAATTTTACCTTAAGCAGCATCATATAGAGTATGCCAGTGTGTCTCTGTGTGTGTGCTTTTATCTAAGTATGCTTATAACCACACACATGTGATATACTACAGTCATTCACAGGTAAGCATTTATGACATGGGAAAATCCAACGACCATACCATTACATCATTACAACTGATTTATACATGTGCATGTACACATAATGTGTGTATATGCTAGTGTTTTATATATACACTCTTTCTGTAAGGAAACTATAGTTAGTGTAGAGGAGGTTATCTGTGGTGCAGTTTATCTTAATGTGTGTGTGTGTGGTGGCTTCCATATTAGTGTTGGTGAGTGGACACACCACATTGAGCAGGGCAAATGTACAATACAATGGACTACTGACCAAGATCCACATACATATCTTCATTTTAAATAAAATAAACATTGTTTCATGTGAATTACTTTGTTTATGCAATTATTAATCATATACTTATTATACAGTTGGTATTGTAGTTTTATGGTGTATTGAGTGGTTTGTTAAGTATATTCATAAGTATGTTTTTGTACCCTGGACATGTAGTGAGTAAATATTTTAGTCTTTCACTACTACTAGTCACGCTGGAGCTGTTAAATAAACCATAGATATTAGAGACTATTTATGAATAAACTGATAGTCTCATGCTAATTAGATTTTTAGTATTTATTTTATTATTATTTTACGTGAGTTATTTTAGCATCAAATCCCTCGCATTATGTAATTCATAATTCTCCAATGAATAACTGTTTTGTCTTCAGAAGCATCTGACACAAACACTAAGAATTACAATGATGTAATGCATATGGACATTACATTCAACTTCCCCTTAAGGTTTCACTACTATAATGATACATTGTATACTAATAGCAATGTTATTGATAGTGTATATGTAATTGTTTTCATTCAGTTTGTGTTTATGTTCTATATACATTGAGGCTAGTTCACACACTGTTCCTAAGATAATAATTGGAATGCAAGAGATGGGATCCTTTTAGCATTACATACTGCATTATTATTTATTGTTATCATAATACTGACATGGGCTAATAGCCACTGCATTAACCTGGTATGCTGACAGCTTGTATACGGGAATTACACTTGGCTCAGCAGCATCATAACACTCACGGTATGATAGATAAACTGACTACTCACTGGGCTGTGCATCAGTTAGCTTAATAGTAGTCCTGTCTGTGTGTGACCTGTTAGTTTAGTGATATAGTTTTTTTGCAGTATATGGACCTGCTCCAGTAGCTGCTCCACCCTCTTTCTTCATAGTAGTCCTTCTATATATAGAGTTACTCTTTCTTGTATTAATACAATCAACTTGTTCCTGCTGAGCCCTACATCTCTGTCTCTTTGCTCTCTCTCTCTCTCTCATCATGTCTTGTATAAGTATTAAACAGATTCTCTGGCCTTTTGTTAGGCATCATGAAGAAGATGATGATAGAGCTGGTATCAATTACAGACACATACTTAGTCTTGGAGAATCCACTGGTATAGGAGTTAGAACGCTGCTACAACAGGTATATACTGCTAGAGCACTACAATAAGCTGCAGTAGAATTACATGCATGTGACCATTTCTTTTCTTTCTTTATATGATGGTAATTCTTTAGGAAGGCAAGGTTATTGATCAAGAGTTAGTTAATGGGAAGCTATCAGCAGAGCACACTTTGCAGATGAAGGTATATAATATTCAGTGCAGCCTGTGCATGCACTACTTTAAATTTTCTCTATTTTAAATGTACAGTGTGCACTTTTGCATTTACTCATACACAGTTGGAGATTACAATTGTATTATCTCTCTCTTTCTGCATCTCTTGCAGGCTGTGTGTACTGGTGCATGGATAAATAAGTTCACTGCTAGTGGTAGAGGTCCCTTGCATCCACGCTTCTTATGGATAGACCCAACTACAATGAATGTGAGACAATTAATCAATCCTTTGTTGCTTATGCTATTATTATTATTATATTTTTTTCTTTTCTCTCTCCAGATTTTTTGGAGCAAGAATGTTGAGTCTAGATACATTAGCAGTAAAGAAACAAAAAATGGTTAGTGTATAATGAAGCTATTATACGTTAAACCATTCAGTGCAATATTGTAGTATAAATGCACGTTACATTTTCATTGCTTGAATCACTCTTTACGTATAATCTCATAATGTAGATAACTTTATTGGTGTGAGATGTTCTGCAAGCAGAGACATACTGAGAAGAAAGGACTTTGATCCAGTCACAAAGCACAAGTTTGCTTTCACTATATTCACAAAGAACAAGTGAGCTGAATTTCAATACATTCTCAGTTAAAGTAGTTTCACATTTGTTGCATGAGTTTATACAGTTAGTTGTTTTCATTGCACGAATCTTTACAGTAAGCCCCATTATACCTGTTTCGTATTTATTGTGTGCAATATTGCAGCCAGCATAACTGCAGTATAGTAATGTAGGTGAGTAGAGTAATATAGTATATCCTATTTTGGCAGCATTTGATTATTTTTTTCGCATCGTAGGATATTAAACGTAGTAGCTCTCTCGTCTGAAGACTTCAAGACATGGCTTAATGGATTACAGATGATCCTTAACCTTGGAAGTGAGAAATCAGTTAAAGTAAGGGAACCAGAGGGAGAGAGCAGAGCGTGTGTGTGATATATTGATTGTTATTGTTTTAATTCTTCATTAGGTTATTAATGCCAGACCATCACTTAGAAACTACTGACACATCTCTCCCCCACACTCCTCCTTCTCTCCCCCTTCTCCTCTCCCACTAATAACCCTTCGATCCTTCCTTACACACACACATATGCTCCATTTCACACACAAAGAAAGCTGCACTATAATATATATCCATGTATTTTATATTATTTATCGAATGTTTTTATTCCAACCTATAATGACTGAAATGCATCCAACAATTTAAACTCTAAAAGACACAATCATTGTACTTTGCGAGTCATTATGTGATCAGGGCTGATCAATGAACTATCAAGGTGTGCATATTATATAATGGCATGCTTCTCATGGACCAGATTTTTCTTAAATATATAACATTAGATAATGTAAATAAAGTCATGGACAGTTGATTGATTGTCTGATCACTGAGATGATCAGACAGGACCAAATGTAGACATAAATACATGCCAGAGAAATGAGTTTATTTACTAAATTAAGATACTCTTTGGAGACAGAGTCGATGTAGTACTTGTTTGTCATAAAAAATTAAAATGAAGCACACTTTTACAAATTACAAGTTGTTTTTTTGACACCTTGTTCACACTTCAAGGTATAAATTGAAGTGTGAACAAGATTGAAAAAATTTTTTTAGCTTACCTACTTCCTTATAATTAACCTTACCACTATAGATGATTGATTTGTACTATCATAAAACTTAATCAAAGCCCATGCCATATATACTTGTTTATAATGTTTAGGACATAGAATATACTTAAGGGACTCAATTGTATTTACAATGTCAATGAATAAAACGAACAAAATAGATATTCAACAATCTCAAGTCAAGTATTCTGTTTATCACTACCAGAGTCTGTCTCTTTATTGCTGGAGTTTAAAGAAGCAGCTGCCTCTTTCTTTCTCTGTTGCTGTCTGATCCATTGTCTGTAGTCACTGAGTGTCAGTACCTTGTCAGCATAATAGTCATCCTCGTATTTGTTCTGATCCGTGCCTACGTATCTGTGACGCTGAAGTCGTGAGAGAAAATCTGCATCTCTCTAGAGTAGAGGATAGATAAGGAGTAACTGAGAATTTATAAAAAATACATCACCACATGAATCAGTTCCACTTTATCTTGGCTAAACTATTCACAATATTAGCTCAAACTTTAGAAAATGCACACACCATTGAAATGTACATATAATTAAAACTAAAATTTTTTCATGGCCATTTTTGCCTAAAATAACAATAATTTTTTTGTTTGAGCTTGTAAATTTATCTTATTTTAATGTAAAAATCCAGGCCCTTTTGATTTTAGATGTATACCTTTTCAATTTGTTTAGCTTTACTTGAAACCATCTTCCAGACGGCGTTAAAGAAAGCTCCGCCCAAAATGAATCCAACCATCCCACTTGCAGCACCACATACAGCTGCAAACACTATTGGATCCATTCCACTACAAATAACAACAATAACAATTATTCTTATTATTATTATTATTATTATTATTTTCAGAATTAATTCTCATTAATTTTATTCCTTCTGTCTTACAGTATAGGTGTTATCTCTTCTGGCGGTAAAGATGTGTCGAATACGTGTGGCATAAAGTGGAGGTTGGCCAATGAAGAAATACCAACGGCAATACATCCCATGGGAATACCAGCAACACGAGCATTCCACTTGAGAGATCTCTTTAACTTTCTGTACTCCTCGAAATTCATCATTCTCTCCCCTGGCTGGCTCTCAGAGGAATCTGAAGACATCCATCTGCTAGTAGAAAGCCTTAGCATCCTTTGGTGAGGAAGACGGAGCTGGAAAAGTCGCTCAAAAGCTCTTCTCTCACACAAACGAAACGCCATTGTAATTCCACGTGGCAACAACATAGGGCGGAGCTGAGGAGAAATTTTCTCCTTAGTCACTCCTTCTTCTTGACTCCTTCAAGATGGCTAGCAGCAGTGGCAACTCCAAGCCCAGATGGCTGCCTTTAGAAGCAAACCCAGAAGTCAGTTTATAATATTTTACTTGCCTCCTAACTGCAGCTCCCCTCCTCTTTCTCTCTAGGTCATGAACAAGGTAATCAGAGCAAAAATGGGCTCAAAAACACCTCCATCTATACAACATTTTCATAATGCATATTGATGCCCTATTTGAGCCCTGATGCATGTAGAAGTTTAAGTAAATTTCAGAGCTTTCAATTATGAAAATCTAAACATTGGCTTTCAAAACACTCTCTTAGTAAAGTTTAGTTAATGAAAAATGGCAAGTTTGAAAAACTGTTTACCTAGAAATGAACTATAATTAAAAGTAGTCTCATTATTATTGTATTTCATTTCCCAGTATGTCGATGGACTTGGTGTAGGAAACTCTTTTCAATTTTGTGATGTCTTTGGATTAGATCCTGACCTTTTGATGATGATACCTCAGCCTTGTGCCGCCCTCGTTATGCTGTTCCCAATCACAGACAAGGTTTTAATTAATTGTGTAGGTGTAACAAAGACTGTTTTCTTTTAGTATGAAGCTTTTCGAAAAGAGGAGGAAGAGAAGATTGAGAAGGAAGGACAGGTAAGAATTTAACAATGAGGTGAAGTAATGTAATTGTGAATTTTAAAATTATAAAAATTGAAGAATTCTCTCAATTTTGGTAAACTTTGGCCCAAGACTAGATACTATAGTACAGGGACTTTGGCCTGATTTTTGAATAACTTTTAAAGTTTGTAAAAAATTCAAATTTGATCAAAATCAGCCTAAACTTTCTACACAACATAAGAACATGTTTATGTATCATAAAGAAATATAAAAGTTCTTTCTCACTTTTTCTTTTCATAGACAGTATCTCCCAATGTGTATTACATGAAGCAATATGTTGGGAATGCTTGTGGCACGATCGGTCTCCTTCATGTGTTGTGTAATAATATTTCTAACTTAACAGTCAGTAAGTGAGATATAATCTTCATTGCTACTTTCATGTTTAAACGTCTTGTCTTCCTCTAATTTAGGAGATGGATATTTGAAGAAGTTTTACGAGAAGACAAAGAACATGACACCAGAAGAGAGAGGCCACTTCATTGAAGAAGATGAGGTAATAAAACTTTGCTAATGCCTTATATACTTTCATGGATCAGTTCAAAAATTATGTTTGTAATTAATTTTATGCGCATTAAAGTATTTCACCATTTTGTATTGTGTTAACTGTTGTGAATCTCAAAATCAGTTCTGTAGTCAAAATAATGATATACTGTAAAGTATAAATTCCATTTGTTGTGCTTTCAAACGCAAGTGCCACCGATAGCTCAGCGGTAGAGCGGAGGACTGTAGAGGTTTACATAGATATCCTTAGGTCGCTGGTTCGAATCCGGCTCGGTGGAGTTTTTTTTTATTTTCCTTTTCATTGCTTTTTTTTGCAGGAGATTTCTGAAGTTCATGAAACTAGTGCACAAGAAGGAGACACAGCTGTAAGAATGCATTTTAAAAACTTTTATTACTTCAAATTTTATATTTCTTATAGCCACCTTCAAGAGATGAGCACACACACTTACATTTTGTCGCGCTAGTCCAGCAAGATGGGCACATTTATGAACTTGGTAAGTCATACAAGGCTACTGCATGATGGGGGCTTGAAGCACACAACCCTACAATGACAATTATGGAATAAAATTTTGTATGAAAATTGAAATTTGGCTCCAATATGTGGGTAACATTAATGCTTATTCATCAACTACAGATGGAAGAAAGTCAGCACCAGTTAATCATGGCTCCACCACACCAGAGAGCTTCTTAAATGTTAGTTCATATTCAATATATAATTATCTTTGCAGCTGAGAATTTTTCAATTTTTTATTAGGATGCTGCCAATGTCTGTCAGAAATTCATGACTCGTGACCCAGACGAGATTCATTTCACTATAGTAGCATTAGCAGCTGCTCAATGATATTTACGAGGATATGATGACTGAATAGTCAAAATAGGAAATTTTATTATAAAGTGTACACACACTAAATTTGATAAAAAAAGAAACAATGCAGTAAAAATAAAAAAGGAACATTATTATTATTATTTGAGTGCATGTATTAAAATAAATCTGGTGAATCTTGTATTGAATTTTTTTGTGTTTTACTACTTTCAGTATAATTTGAAATAGCTCCATTATCAGCATGAGTGTCACTTGGACTATCATTTAGTTTTACAATATCCAGTTTCCTTTTCCTAGGGAGAGAAGATAGTACTTGCTTGCGATCCTTCTCACTTCCTTCTTTTTCTTTATTTCTTTGTTGCCATAATCTGGTTGGTGCCCTTTGGAGATGAACAACAGGCGTTGAGGTATACGAAGAAATATTCCAAGTAGTAGCAATACTTGTAATAGAAGGTACACTAGTACCAGTAATGCTTGAGGTAGGAGCAGTAAAGGAAAGTGTAGGAAGAGGAGTAGCATCAGCTACAATGCCAGTATCAGTGCTATTGCTAATGACATGTGAGGAGGCTGACCAATTCTTAAATAACTCAGGAGATAATGAAGATTGCATTTGACTACTGCATGCATGCTTATTGAGTGGTGAGAACAACTGAAATGAAAGTGATAGAGTCATTTGAGATGGTGTAGGTGATGAATTTCTCTTTTTACACACACTACAGTTAATAGTATTATCTTGAGAAGGATTGAGTGAAATATTTGGAAGGCTGAAGTGATTGGATGGTTCTCCCTCAAGAGTATTATTTGAGGACGAAAAATTAGAAAGGTTTAGGTCTTTCACAAATTGTGTTGATAAGTCATCAACAAAAGGGACTTGGCAAGATGGAGGAGCTGTGAATAATGACCTATCAGTCATTGAATCAAGCTCTCTCATGAGTTCATACATCAGTTCAGTATCAGTTTCATCCTTAAAGCCAACCTCAGGGAATTTATGATCTGAAACTACAGGAGAATGAAGGGGTAATCTTGATAAAGATGGCGGATGAACATTTAAAGGAGAATTATTACTTATTGATGAAGTCCCTGTTGTTCTAGTGTCTGCTTCACAGGTTTCTTTTTGAAGCTCTTCAATGATGGAACTGGAGCAATCTGGAACATTCTCTGCAATGATACTGCTGCTGCTACTGTTAAAAAAGTCCCTCCAAAATTGACTTGAGTTTGTCAGACCTAAAGATTGTAATGAACTGTTATTCTCATCCCTTTCTGATTGCTGGGACAATGTAGTAGGTGTAGTATCACTAATGGATTCGAGTTTGATAAAAGATGGTTCAGACTGTAGTAGAGATTTCTCACTGTACAAACCACTCCTACCAAAACTAACAAGTTCCTGTTCTTGTAAAGAAGTACAAATAGTATTAGAAGGAGAAAGAAGAGCTTTCATTGTAATTAAAATAAGGAAAGGAGCCGCACATCTCATTTCATTAAATTGTCTAATGGATACAGGAAGAAAGGAAGTTGTACTGTCTTTAAATTTCCTGTTGAGTCTCAAAGATTTAAAAAGAAAATGACGTCCAGAAAAAATGACAGAGAGTGCTTTGTGAAGTAGTGAGGAAGGGCTTTGAGAACCAATTTCAATTAAAAACCTAAAAATAAAAAAATAAGCACACACTTTCATTTTACTATGATTTCTGCACAATACATGGCCATTTTTAAAAGTATGTGATTTACTATAAATAGCCAATTCTTATTCCAAAAAATTGCTGCAAAATTATCCAAAATTTATTATAATTTTCTAATGTATATTGCTGTCTTTGTACCAATTTTGAGCCAATTGAAACCTCAATTTTTCGTGCTTTGGCCATTTTCAAAAATTGGCAAATTTTTAAAAAATTTCCTGTACTATAGCCCATGGTTATTTTCCAAAAATGGCTCTGAAATCATCTCAAATTTTTATTACATTTTCTGATACATATTGATGTACTTATGCTATGTAGAAAGTTTGAGTCGATTCCGACTTCAATTTTTTGAGTTATGGTCATTTTAAAAAATAAGCTGTTTTCTAAAAAATACCCTGCCCATGGTTCTTTCCAAAAAATGGCTCCAAAATCATCCCAAATTTTTATTACATTTTCTGATACATATTGATGTCCTTATGCTATGTAGAAAGTTTAAGTCGATTCTGACTTCAATTTTTCGAGTTATGGTCATTTTTAAAAATAAGCTGTTTTCTGAAAAATACCCTGTACTATAGCCCATGGTTTTTTCCAAAAAATGGCTCCAAAATCACCCCAAATTTTTATTACATTTTCTGATACATATTGATGTACTTATGCTATCTAGAAAGTTTGAGTCGATTCCGACTTTAATTTTTCGAGTTATGGTCATTTTAAAAAATAAGCTGTTTTCTAAAAAATACCCTGCCCATGGTTCTTTCCAAAAAATGGCTCCAAAATCATCCCAAATTTTTATTACATTTTCTGATACATATTGATGTCCTTATGCTATGTAGAAAGTTTAAGTCGATTCTGACTTCAATTTTTCGAGTTATGGTCATTTTTAAAAATAAGCTGTTTTCTGAAAAATACCCTGTACTATAGCCCATCGTTTTTTTCCAAAAAATGGCTCCAAAATCACCCCAAATTTTTATTACATTTTCTGATACATATTGATGTACTTATGCTATCTAGAAAGTTTGAGTCGATTCCGACTTTAATTTTTCGAGTTATGGTCATTTTAAAAAATAAGCTGTTTTCTAAAAAATACCCTGCCCATGGTTCTTTCCAAAAAATGGCTCCAAAATCATCCCAAATTTTTATTACATTTTCTGATACATATTGATGTCCTTATGCTATGTAGAAAGTTTAAGTCGATTCTGACTTCAATTTTTCGAGTTATGGTCATTTTTAAAAATAAGCTGTTTTCTGAAAAATACCCTGTACTATAGCCCATGGTTTTTTCCAAAAAATGGCCCCGAAATCACCCTCAATTTTTATTACAATTTCTGATACATATTGACGTAATTATGCTGTGTAGAAAGTTTGAGTCGATTCCGACTTCAATTTTTCAAGTTATGACCATTTTTTAAAATTGGCCATTTTCTGAAAAATACCCTGTACTATAGCCCATGGTTTTTTCTGAAAAATGGCCCCGAAATCACCCCCAATTTTTATTACATTTTCTGATACATAATTATGCTGTGTAGAAAGTTTAAGTCGATTCCGACTTCAATTTTTCAAGTTATGGCCATTTTTAAAATGGGCCAATTGCTTTTAAAAATGGCTCCCTTTGCATAGGATAGGCTGCATAGTCTTTTGAATCATTACACAACATAAGAAATGTACACGTATCAAACAAAATAATTATAGTCATTTTGACGAAATCTGGCCAAAATCTTTGTACTATAGCACATGAACTTTGGCCGCAATTTTCAAAAAATTTTAAGGATTTAATCTAACTGTGATTGGAGAATCAAGGCTAAAATACTTACTGATGAACATGGTAAGCTGTTGCACCTAGCAAGTGATCCAGTCGCCCACCAAAACTTATCACATCAATGCACTCATCGCTATCGCATTTAACAATAGAAAGAGCTAGTAGGTAAGTTAATGATACCTTTGGAACCAACTGGGAGCATTTCAAACACCAATAGCTAATAAAAAGTAAAAAAATAGCAATTTGTATTTTAAAATTAAAATCTAATATTAAATTAAAAATTTGTATAACTGATCTGCCTACTTCTAATATGGTGTACCTATTGGAACTATCTCTTGTTGCTTTTTCTCTCAGTTTTCTCTTGCAGTTTGGACAAGAGACATAATAACCTGAGAATGGCTTCACATCAAGGACATGACCTAGTTCTTCCATTTTTTTTACCACGTGACCTCCGTAATCTAGATCGAAACCGAAGAGTATCCGGTAGATTCGCAAAATGCAGCCCAGCATAGACTAACATATTGCTAGCAAGTTACTTTGATCTTGTAAGCAACATGTTGCTATAAATAGAAAGTTCTGGCAACTAAAAAATCAGATATTGCTATCAACATATTGCCTAGCGTATGCTGGGCTTTACAAGCATCAGAGCAAGTGCAGCTTGCAATGTGTAACAGAATCATAGAAAGGAGTGTAAATTCTTGCATAAAAAACTTATGAGCAATTTTAAAAGTTAATAAAAGAGTGCATATAGAGAGAGTGGCTACTCACATGAATCAATTGGACTGTAGTTTCTGATTCAATTTGGCATATCTTTTATGAGTTGTTGAAATCTATTTCAGTGGTCTTCAGATAGCACACACTCAAAACTGAATATGGATTTTATCTGTAATGTTTGCTCTGTTCAATTAGCTAATGGTTCATTCCTACGTTATTCAGTCAAAGTAAACAATCTCTGTGCTTATTTTGCAACAGTAGAATAAGAAACAAAAACAGTGAGCTTTCAGGAATAGTCTATACTAGAAAACAGCGCACCTGTAACACAGTATACATTGCAATAAATATTATTAGTATTATAATGATAAAAGTGCACACAAAATATTTACACGGTTAGTAAAGGATAGCTTAAAAACAGAAGTGAAGAATTTACAAAGCGGAAGAAACTTATAATAAACTTTCAAATTATTTACACAACAAACCAAACTGCAATAGTTATTACCTAGAAAACAACAATAATATAATTATGCTTGCTTTGGTAATTCAATACTCTTCACCTCATTCAGAACCATATGCAATATTCTTGTATGTAACATCAGGCGTATGGTACATTGGGTTTTCCATTCTCTCAAAGGATGCTTTGCTGACTTCTGCTTTGAAACTGTTATATTCTTTATAGTCCAAATACATACAGCAACATTTGATTGCTATCAATATACCAATACCCAACAATATGATAAGGACCAGTAGGATAGTTACAATTGCCCAAATAGGAATAGGGAGGCAAATGCGAGGAGGCACAGCATACAAGTCCTCCCCATCAGGACCTCTACCAGCTATATAAGTATACTGACACTCACCACTAATGAATGAGCAATCAGTGTTACTATTGGGCAGTGATCCTGGTATTATGTAATCATCTGATGGAGATGAGGTGAGGAGTGCGAAATTATCACAAGAACTTGAACCACAAGATATTGAACTATTTTCACTTTCAGATCTAGCAGCTTCACCATAACATATAACACAGTCTCTTACACTGTTATCACATGATCCTAATAGTGTACCACTTACAAATGTACTCTCCTCACAATATGGACCAGAATAAAGATCATTACATGTACAAGCTTGACCTTTAGGTTCACAAGGACTGCATGTACCATTACCACTACAGAGTAAAGTCTGGTTATTAGCATCAGGATCAATGCAATGATCAGTTGAACATTGACACCATTCCCCAGTCCTTCTCTCTCCAGTTAATGCTGATACTGCACACAGACACTCATACGTACCATTGTAACATTGACATTCACCCTCACCACTGCATACAGTACCATCTCCATCAGTCAAGCACTCATAATTACTGCATTCACAAGCTGCCCCATATATCAGTGGATTATCTACACTAGTAGTATCAAGCATAGTCGAGTCTATATCAGACAATTCTGCTGAGTTGACATTGTAGCAATGACACTCTCCACATTCACATGCTCCTCTACCATTACATGTTTTCCCATTAAGACCCACTGGACATTGAAGAGTAGAACAGGAACAAGTTGATCCTTCCCATCCTTCATCACAGTTACACAGTCCACAGGTCAAGTTCCCATTCTTGCTACATTCGGTGCTTCCCCTAGTAGACTGAGACTCACACTCACAGCTACAGTGGCCACTGACTTTAATGAGAAACCGTGAGAATCCTGGTATAGTGACTATTATATCAGTACTCTTATTATCTCTAAGTTCTTGTGTGCATTCTCTCAGACTAACTGACATTGTAAATTCAACAGTTTCATTACCAATCTCAACACATTCTCTTCTTTGTGGAAAGTAATTTGAACAGTTAGCTTTGACAGTGGCTGAAATGTGGTCAGGGAGGTTAAAACTTAGCTGAGCATTAGCCACGACTTTGCGATAAGCTTCAATTAGAACTGAAATAAGATTAGAAGAATCTTTTTGTAGTGCAACAGAAAAACCATTGAGAAATGGGCTCACTGATTCATTGTATAAAGCAAAAATATCATCACTAACTCCAGCAAGAGCAAATACTGGCACAACATCATTATTAGTGAGAGTCATTTTTACTAATTCCATTGATGGATAATCCTGAAGTAAAGATGCTGTATACAATGTTCTATTAGTACTTTCATCATATTCAGTGTGGCACAAACCATCATTAGGTTTTACAATACCAGCTAAGCTACCATCACCAGCTGTGTGTAAAACATCATCTGTCATTACCAAGAGAATCTTCCTTGAGTCTTCTCTCCATTCTATAACATCATCGCACACTACAGCTTGTAACATTGCATCTAGTGTTCCTTCAGGATTGTCCACATTAGTTGATATACTGATATCCTGCAATTCGGAGTTGAATAAGTCAGATGAGTTGGTTAAACTGACTATGTGTTCATAACTAAATGGGATAGTTATTCCTGGCATAGGATCATACATTAATTGCTGGTTTGAAGTGAAAGGAAGAATAGGCTTGTCAACAAAAGCACCAAACCCAATTTTAAAACTGGACGAAACGTTCTGCAAACTCAGAGGCAACTGTGGAGCAATGTTTTTCACATTATCTAGATCAGTTCCAAAGCTACTAGACAAATCCATCAATATGTACAGATCTAATGGATAGTCATTGGAAGCTTTAACCGACACTTTAACATCAATCGATTCATTGACACGTAACTTGAGACTAACCGACTTTAAAGAAACTTGATTTTGATCACTGATGGGTAATTCATTAATCTCATTGATAGCACTGGAGTAGGAGGAGAGGCTAGTAGAACAATTGTCTTTATCCTCTGGAGAGAGACAGCGAGCAAGTCCAGGAGTATAGCACCAGAAACAAGAATAAGGTAATGAAATACACTCAGTGCATGTTGAAGCACTGCTACAATTAACTGCAGCCTCAGTAGACGTGAATAAAAGTAATACAAGAAGACCAAACATGAATATAGCCGTTACACTATCTATGCTCCGCTAGCCTATCGTTTCGACTTTTTAATTTATGCACGGATCTATTATCATTATGGGCGTGGCTCATTGCAGGGCGTAGCTCGTTTTAAAATGTACCCATTTCTTTGTATGGTTTTGCTCCTGGTCAGCTCGACTGAAGCTGCAGTTGATTGCAACAGTGCTTCAACATGCACTGAGTGTATTTCATTACCTTATTCTTGTTTCTGGTGCTATACTCCTGGACTCGCTCGCTGTCTCTCTCCACAGGATAAAGACAGTTGTTCTACTAGCCTCTCCTCCTACTCCAGTGCTATTAATGAGATTAATGAATTACCCATCAGTGATCAAAATCAAGTTTCTTTAAAGTCGGTTAGTCTCAAGTTACGTGTCAATGAATCGATTGATATTAAAGTGTCGGTTAAAGCTTCCAATGACTATCCATTAGATCTCTACATATTGATGGATTTGTCTACTAGCTTTGGACCTGATCTAGTTAACGTAAAAAACATTGCTCCGCAGTTGCCTCTGAGTTTGCAGAACGTTTCGTCTGGTTTTAAAATTGGGTTTGGTGCTTTTGTTGACAAGCCTATTCTTCCTTTCACTTCAAACCAGCAATTAATGTATGATCCTCACCCATCATTTGCTATCCCATTTAGTTATGAACACATAGTCAGTTTAACCAATTCATCTGACTTATTCAACTCCAAATTACAAGATATCAAAGGATCAACTAATGTGGACATTCCTGAAGGAACATTAGATGCAATGTTACAAGCTGTAGTGTGTGATGATGTTATAGAATGGAGAGAAGACTCAAGGAAGATTCTCTTAGTAATGACAGATGCTGTTTTACACACAGCCGGTGATGGTAGCTTAGCTGGTATTGTAAAACCTAATGATGGTTTGTGCCACACTGAATATGATGAAAGTACTAATAGAACATTGTATACAGCATCTTTATTACAAGATTATCCCTCACTGGAATTAGTAAAAATGGTTCTCACTGATAATGATGTTGTACCAGTATTTGCTGTTGCAGGAAATAGCAATATTTTTGCTTTATACAATGAATCAGTGAGCCCACTCCTCAATGGTTTTGCTGTTAAATTAGAAAATGATTCTTCTAATCTTATTCCAGTTCTAATTGAATCTTATTATAAAGTCGTGGCTAATGCTCAGCTAAGTTTTAACCTTCCTGACCACATTTCAGCCACTGTCAGAGCTAACTGTTCAGATTACTTACCACAAAGAAGAGAATGTGTTGAGATTGGTAATGAAACTGTTGAGTTTACAATGTCAGTTAGTCTGAGAGAATGCACACAAGAACTTAGAGATAATAAGAGTGCTGATATAATAGTCACTATACCAGGATTCTCACAGTTTCTCATTAAAGTCAGTGGCTACTGTAGCTGTGAGTGTGAGTCTCAGTCTACTAGGGGAAGCACCGAATGTAGCAAGAATGGGAACTTGACCTGTGGACTATGTAACTGTGATGAAGGATGGGGAGGATCAACTTGTTCCTGTTCTACTAGTCTTCAATGTCCAGTGGGTCTTAATGGGAAAACATGTAATGGTAGAGGAACATGTGAATGTGGAGAGTGTCATTGCAACAATGTCAACTCAGCAGAATTGTCTGATACTACTGGTGTAGATAGTCCACTGATATATGGGGCAGCTTGTGAGTGCAGTAATTATGAGTGTTTGACTGATGGAAATGGTGTTGTATGCAGTGGTGAGGGTGATTGTCAATGTTACAATGGTACGTATGAGTGTCTGTGTGCAGTATCAGCATTAACTGGAGAGAGAAGGACTGGGGAATGGTGTCAATGTTCAACTGATCATTGCATTGATCCTGATGCTAATAACCAGACTTTACTCTGTAGTGGTAATGGTACATGCAGTCCTTGTGAACCTAAAGGTCAAGCATGTACATGTAATGATCTTTATTCAGGTCCATATTGTGAGGAGAGTACATTTGTAAGTGGTACACTGTTAGGATCATGTGATAACAGTGTAAGGGACTGTGTTATATGTTATGGTGAAGCTGCTAGATCTGAAAGTGAAAATAGTTCAATATCTTGTGATTCAAGTTCTTGTGATAATTTCGCACTCCTCACTTCATCTCCATCAGATGAATACATAATACCAGGATCACTGCCCAATAGTAACACTGATTGCTCATTCATTAGTGGTGAGTGTCAGTATACTTATATAGCTGGTAGAAGACCTGATGGGGAGGACTTGTATGCTGTGCCTCCTCGCATTTGCCTCCCTATTCCTATTTGGGCAATCGTAACTATCCTACTGGTCCTTATCATATTGTTGGGTATTGGTATATTGATAGCAATCAAATGCTGCTGTATGTATTTGGACTATAAAAAATGCAAGAAATCAGTAAAGATAGTGCCTTTGAAGGAAAATGAAACCCAATGTACCAAAAATCATGCAATTACTATGACTTTGATACAAAATGTGGCCTTATCATGACAATCAAATCATATTCTACTTTCATTATTGTTGCTGCTTATATTAGAGTACCATACCAAAATTATCAACCCAATTTTACCTGCATGTATTTTCTCCTTCACCATTACTTATTTTGATTGTTACTTTATAATAATTATTATAATTATTTTATTCCATCAATGGAGCATCCCATTCCCTCATCCTCTACAAGAGAAGAGGAGGCAACGGAAAGCAAAACAAACAAAAATGAAAATTGAATCCTAAACAGTTACCAGACCTGATCCTTGAAGAGAAAGAGAGGAGAGAGTGAGAGCAACAGGAGAATATACATATAATATAAATATATAGAGAAGAAGAATTAGAATCAGCCTGGACTTTAGGAAGTCTGAGACAACAAAAAAGGAAAAGGCTACGAAAGTGAAGAAAGAATAAGTTTGTAGAAAACGAAGAGAAAGAGAGAGAGGAATTGTTTCAGAATGAAATCAGTGAAAGTGCCAAAACTTCATTACAAACAACAGATGATGTGGGCAGAAAATGGGCCGAGAGTCTACTCAAGGTGATCAGGAGGGAGTCCCTGCTCGTGGCGCTCCCAAGCACGAAAGAAGATCCCTTCAAGATCCTGAGTGTATTTCTTAGTATCAAACAACGATGAGGTTAATCTAGCATCCTGAACCCTCGTTTTAAGAGCTTTTAACCTACAATGGAAACAAAAAACAATCAAATATTGATATGCACTATCATAAATTATTAAACCTAATCTTAAATGTAGAAATTGCATACTACATGTAGTTGCTAAAAATTTATGTACAGTAGCAAAGCTTTACTAAAATGTAAACTCTTGATTATCAATGCTTATTTGCCCACAGAGAAGATGAAAGGGCCAAAAACTACATGTAAATTTGTACATCCATTATTATACAAGCTTCTCTACAATAGCCGTACATGATTGTACATGTACATGTAGATAAGAGCTTACTTTGCAGGATTGTTTCCATAGGTGACAGCAATGTCTTCATACTCTTGTCTTGAGGATGCAACCAGTTCAGGGAAACCCAGAGATATCAACTGAGAAGCGGCCACTCTTGAAGCCAGTGTTTCCAATGGTAGCGTAAGCACTGGAGTCCCCGCCCACAATACATCCATGCCAGTGGTGTGGCCGTTACAGAGGGGCGTGTCCAAACACATGTCAGCCAATCGCCCACGACGAACATGCTCTTCTTTCGGAGCCACGGGCGAGAAAATGATCCGACTTGGTTGGATACCAAGTTTCTGAGTCGTTGCGACTACGTTGGGTTCTCCAACAGCCGGAAACCTCAGGAGCCACATGATACTATTAGGAACCCTCTTCAATATGTTAGCCCAACTCTCGAGAGTGGCCGGGTCTATCTTATACAGCTGGTTGAAGTTACAATAGACCACAGCACCTTCAGGCAGGCCGTACTGAGCCCTAGTCGTCAATGGAAGGTCTGTTGGCATCGCAAGAGGGTGTTCGGGCTGAGGAGTAGACGCTATCGCTGTCTGCTGTGATAACTGGTTAAGACTTGCCTGTATCTTTTGCAGCGCCTGCTGGCTTTGCTGACACTGCTGCAGGTAGAGGTGATTGTGAGGCTGTTGCTGGAGATTATGCAAGCAAGACTGATGCTGTTGTATCAGTAACGACTTCTGCTGCTGCAGCGCCAGTTTTTGTTGCTGTAGCGCTTGAGTCGAAGACGCTTGTCGATTCCCACCAGTGATGGAGTGCACTGGACGCTGAATGACGCTGTTTATCGAAGTGACGCCAGACTGAGAGTCTATCGCTTGTAAAGGGGCGGGGTCAGTCGTACCCTGTCCTTTGAAGAGGAGGTGAGGGAACATGTAGCGATGATCGCCCACAAAGAAAGTCCTGGGCATGTAGGCTAATTTCTCCGAGTACTGGTCAGCGAGGTTCATGGGGGAGGTGACACGATCGGTGATGATGTAATCCATGTAGGAGGCCCCGCTGGTACCTGGATACCCCAACCACATTATCTGGAGAGAGGGGAGGAATGGGGCATTAAATAGAACTGTACAACATGAGAAATAATTTAAACATTTATATAATGTGCACATGCATGTACATGTATAAAATATTTAAAATTAATGATGAATAAAAAAATTTACACTACATATACATGTACTATACAAAATTTAAATATAAATGTTTTAAAAGCAATACACATGTACAATGTAAATTTAAAAAATTATGTTTTTGATACTATATTTTAATAATTTTGTATTACCAGCAAATTTCAAGAATAAAAAGTCATCAGTATGAATATGTGTGTGTGTGTGCCATATTGCTATTACCTGTACTGGGGCTGGTTTTAATGCAAATATTTCATTACGAGCTCCTTTAGTGTATCCATTCATATTCACTAAAACATGAATACCGTCAGAATTGATCCTATTAGCAGCTGCACCATTATCAGGAACCTGAGAGAGAGAGAGAGAGAGAGAGAGAGAGAGAGAGAGAGAGAGAGAGAGAGAGAGGGAGAGGGAGAGGGAGAGGGAGAGGGAGAAAGGAAGAATGTTGAAGTATTAATATTAATTTTATTTTTTTGTTTACTTTTGATAAATCAATAAAGTGTTCACTCTCTTGTGCTATCTTTCTCCTAAAACTCGTATTATCATCCGGCGACAATGAATAACAAAACACCTATACAAAGACCACACCTATTGACTCCACCCATCAAAACCACGCCCACTCTCACCTCAACCTTAGCCCTGTTGTGAAAGCCGGGTACACTCTGCATGAGGTGTGAAGTTGGATGGTTGCAAAAATCGGACGAGATATATCCAATTCTTAGCCTACCACCTGAAGCAGATCGATCCTTGGGATATTGATAAGGTGCCCTAGAAAAAATAATATTCTGATAAATATACATGCACTTATGTTATTTAAAAAGTTTGAGTTGATTCTAATCAAAATTGGATTTTTATGAATTTTAAAAGTTGCTCCAAAATCAGGTCAAAGTCCCTGTACTCTAGTATACGGTCTTGGGCCTAATTTCGTCAAAATTGAAAAGAACAAAATTTTCCACTTTTATAATTTTTTTCTTATAGATAAACATGTTCTTATGCTATGCAGAAAGTTTGAGCTGATTCCAATCAAAATTGAATTTATAAAGAATTTTTAAAGCTACTCCATATTGAAACATGTACATGTACATGCATGCTTCTTATCTCACTGTAGCATATGCTTCATGAGAAACCCTACATGCACATGTATACAGCTGCTTATTGTGTGCCAATTTCTAGTATACTATACACATGTACATGTACATAATGTACAGTGTACATGTACATGTACTGTACATGTATCCTCATGTACATACTTTTTATCTCACTATAGTATGCTTCATGAGAAACCTTACATATATATTAAAAGCTACAGCTGCTTAATGTATGCCAATTTCTAGTATACTATACACAGTACACTGTACATAGAGTACATGTACATGTACTGTACATGTACATGTATCCTCATTACTTGTGTAGTGTAGAGACCTTCTCCAGGCAGAGGGTAGCGTGACGAGCAGCAATCCCCTTCCTCTGTCCATGGGATAGCGGGTACAGCATGCTGTGGTGAGGGTGGACGGACGGTAGACGATTCTTCGCCAACTGCTCGCCGACGATCTGAACAATTCGCTTCATCCGAGACTCATAATCAGACCAGTCACAAACAATCTGTAGACAATGGGCGAGGTTACAAAAAGCATCAGGGAAGTCCGGTTTCAGCTTTAGCGCCATTCGATACGAGGTAATGGCCTCTGGAATATTCCCAGAGTCTTTGTGAATGGACGCAAGATTGCTGTGGGCATCGGCGAAGGCAGGGTTGATCTGTATGGCACGGGAGTAGCACTGGAGGGCTCCTTGAAAGTCCTGCATCTCTTTGAGGGTGTTACCCATGTTGCTGTAAGCATCTGCAAAGTTTGGGTGAATCCTGATGGCTTCCTTGTAGTGGAGTAAAGCGTCTTGGAGCTTCCCTTGCATCTGGAGTATGCTGGCAAGGTTGGAGTGAGCTGCTGCAAATTCTGGCATTATCTAAAAGTAGTAGAGAAGAAGAAGGATTAATCTTTTTATGTTTTAGATACAAAACAATTAATGAACATGTACACTGAATACAATTTATTGTCATACAAATTAACATACACATACATGTACCTAAACATTTCCTGTCCTCTTTTCACATGCTTCTCTCTCCTTCTCTCTCCCTCTCCTTCTTCCTCCCTCCCTCCCCTCCCCTCCCCTTCCTCTCCCCTCCCTCCCTCCACTAAATGATATTCATTCTTCATAATCTTTTACTATGACTCTCTCTCTTACTACATGTACATCTCTTTGTCATGTCTCCCAACACACAATAAAGTGGTAATAAGAATCACAGACTAACTCAATTAGTCAATTACTCATTATTACTGGTACTATAGCTTGTCTAACCACACCACCACTACATACATGCCCACAACACATGCTCTCACAAGCCTCAATTCTTAGAAATAAATGTATTATTCATTTTTATATGTACATGGTACGTATTATGTAAATTCTGCTGTATTTTTAACAAAGAAATGTTTATGATAATAAGAGTATTGAATGGGATTGGCTTATGCTAAACAATTAATGCAGTGAAAAGAAAACATTTTTAAAGGAATACACAAAGTATGTATCTAATCAATAAGCAAGGCATGTACTGTGTAATGCATCAGAAAATGGAGAGTTCCCCCCATAGTCATTTTGACAAAAAAGCCTGTACTATTGTATAGGGAATTTAAGCAAATTTTGAAGCAACTTCAAAAATTTGTAAAAAATCCAATTTTTATCAGAATCAGTTCAAACTTTCTACACGACATAAGTACATGTATATGCATCAGGAAATATTATAAAAATAGCGAAATGTCTCCCTTTTAATTTTGGCAAAAATTGACCCGAGACCATGTACTATAGTACAGGGATTTTCATCCAATTTTGGAGTAACTTCAAAAATTTGTAACAAATCCAGATTTGATCTGAATTAGCTCAAACTTTCTACACAACATAAGTACATGTATGTGCATCAGAAAAAATTATAAAAATGGCGAAATCTCTCCCTTTCAATTTTGGCAAAAATTGACCCAAGACCATGTACTATAGTACAGGGATTTTCGTTCGATTTTGGAGTGACTTCAAAAATTCGTAACAAATCCAGATTTGATCCGAATTAGCTTAAACTTTCTACACGACATAAGTACATGTATATGCATCAAGAAAAATTATTAAAATGAAGAACTCTCTCCTAACCATTTTCGATGAAATACCCTGCATGTACACATCTACCAATTCAATTACATATGTACATTGTCCCATTACAGTCTTGGGAGCAAATACAAAGGAACTGCAACTAGCATTTCATGTACAATACTTGTTAAGATTCGCTTTCCTCCTTTCCCATTCCTTTCAAGTTTTAATGCCACACTTTCTCTTCCTTTCATCTCCCCACTATTCTTCCTCTCTCTCTCTCTCTCCCTCCCCCACACTCCCCAGTCCCTATACACTAACCTCCAGTGCCCTCTTGTACAGCTTTATGGCTTCATCAATATGTCCCTGCTCCCTCTTGATATTAGCAAGGTTGTTCAGTGAGTCGGCATGCGACGAGTTCATTTTTAGAGCTATATTGTAGCATTCCTCAGCCTCTGCTACCTGAAAATTTTTTTTTTAATAATGATAACTAAATTAATATATGTACATGTAGCATAGTAACATTTATAAAATAGAATGTTTATTATTATTTTTATTTTAATAAATGTATCTTTACTTTTCCTTGTTCTTTAAGTGCATTGGCAAGGTTGCAGTAAGCATCAGGGAAGTGTGGCTGAAGCTCAATAGCTCTCTTATACGTATCAATAGCTAATTCTATGAGCCTTTAATGAATGAGGGAGAGAGAGAGAGAGGGAGAGAGGGGGGAGGGAGAGAGAGGGGGCGGGAGGGAGGGAGAGAGGGGGAGAGAGAGGGGGGAGAGAGAGAGGAAAAAGTAATAATAAAATGTGGTTCACAACACTATCAGGATTGTAGTCCTTGATACAGAGCATACAATAAACTAATGTTATCAAACAACAACAGTAACTGTCACCAATAATACACAATATATAGCATTACCACTCTAATAAAAAGAATTATTAGCGTAAAGGGAGAACTAGTACAGTGTAGCCTCTTTATTAAGGACACCATTGGGCCCACACTACCTGTCCTTAATACATGTACAGTATAGCCTCTTTATTAAGGACACCATTGGGCCCACACTACCTGTCCTTAATACATGTACAGTGTAGCCTCTTTATTAAGGACACCATTGGGCCCACACTACCTGTCCTTAATACATGTACAGTGTAGCCTCTTTATTAAGGACACCATTGGGCCCACACTACCTGTCCTTAATACAGAGGTATCCTCATCTAAGAGGCATACTTTTGTTTAGGTTTGTACCAATTAGGACATTACAAAAAGTCCTTAATATAAAGGTGTCCTTATTATAGAGACTAGACTAGCTGTAGCTATCTGATACATGTAGGATGTAAAATTAAGAAAAGAAAAAGAGAGAAGAGTCAAGGAAAAAGGAAAGTACATGTAGGGGAATATTATCAGTGGGTGATATCATCTAGTGATAATCCCATTACAGAAGCAGCTGTCAGTAATTGGACTTACTAAGAATATCCCTCCCTCAACACTCTAACATCCCAAAAGGCACAATCCTACCCCTCTTCATTCATAAACCAAAAGTGCTAACAACAAATGAGAGAGTACACATGTACATGTACAATCTAAATTGACATGTATATATTAATTTTTATAGATACACAGTCAAGCCTCATGGCTCTAGTGGTGGTGTCAGAGAAGATGCTTGGGGACTGATTAGAACAAAAATTCAAAGCATGACACCCAGAATTATTATTATTATTATCATTATAGTAATTATAAAGAGAGTAATTCATGAATGGACGGACACACACACAGACATAGGTAACAGTTGTCATGGAAATGCATACATGCATGATCACACACACACAATTAATACACAATAGACTCTAATGAAGCAACTAAAAGTAAACTACATGTACATGTACATGTCATTATTAAACAAGAGGATTAGGTCATTCCTTAATCATAAACTTATTGAGAATTTTAAAAAATGAATAAAAGAGAGAGAGAGAGAGAGAGACAGACAGACAGAGAGAGAGAGAGAGAGAGAGAGAGAGAGACAGAGAGAGAGAGATAGAGAGAGAGAGATAGAGAGACATACTAAATGTAGAAACAAAGTAATCAAGAGACTAAGAAGACATGTGAACATGTACATACAAACTAAAGCTATAGTGTATACAAGTACATGTATAAAGTATGTCACATACCCTTGCTCATAGTAGACACAGGCAAGATTCCCATGCACAATGGCGTGATTGGGGCTGAGGCTAAGGGCACGGAGATAAGCAGCAACTGCCCTATCAAATATCCTCGCCTCTTTTAGTACGTTGCCCAAATTGATGTAGGCATCTTGGAAAGCTGGATCCAGCTGGACAGCCTTTAGAAAGAAAACAATTATAAAATGAATAAATACATGGCATTACATGTACTGTATTTACTACACAGTGCAGATTTGGTTTTTCTAATTATTTTGTACCTTTTCAAAATGATGTATGGCCAGCCATATCTCTCCCTGACTATTGTAAACACAACCCAAGTTACTCCAGGCTACAGCAAATGTTGGATGAGTCTCTATAGCTTTCATGTAGCAGGACTGAGAGGGAGAGAGAGGGGGAGAGAGGGAGTGAGAGAGAGAGGGAAAGAAAGAGGGAGGGGGAGAGAAGGAGGGAGAGAGGGAGAAAGAGGGGGAGGGAGAGAGATGGATCAAGTGTATGTGTGTGTGTGTGTGTGCGTGCGTGTGAGAATTAGAGATACAAAGAGAGAGTGACAAAGACAGGGAGAGGCAATTAAAAGATATTAAATTACTTACATACACTTTTATCTACTACATATGAAGTACACTAATGTAGTGCACAATTAAAATAAAGATAAGACAATATCCTTGAACTAACTTTAGCATCTTCCAGTCTACCCAGTGCCTTGTAAAGGTTACCAAGATCACTCCTAACTCCATACAGATCCTATTATGACAAAAACCACAAGAATAGACCAACCATTCACAGATAAGGGCATACAATTAGGGGCACATGTTTATAGATACCACCCAACATTAATACATGTACATGTACATGTACATGTGTATATGTAAGTACATGTACAGTGTACATGTTGTGGTTTATTATTTAAAATCCTTTCAAAGTGAAACCAGTTTTGTCTGGAATTGGATTACAAAAACAGATCTCTGTCTATATCATACGTCCATCACATCCAATCATAATGTAACACATATGTACAGACATACATGTACATGTATATACTAAATGTTGCAAAAAATAATTCAAGAATCAAGACAACTGCATGAATCCCAATCTCTGACTTGGAGAGGATGGAAATGAGAATTAAGAATATAGTGGGAGATGAAGGAGTGGTGACACGCAAACACGAGTCGCTTGAAAGGTTCTACTCACATTACAACTCATACACATGTACACAGTAAGGTTTCTGAACCCACACTAGTTGATGACCCTGCAACCTTATATACATGCACATAAATTAAGAAATTATACATCAAAAACAATCATAATATGTGTACATGTATTCTCTAATGTACACAATGCCTACTTATAATAATAAACATAAGTTAGTAATACACAAATATTATTATCATACATATAAAGTATGTACAATGTTCATGTAGACGGTACATTATTAAATGTGATGGGATCTCTCAATTGCAATGAAAGGCTAAGGCCTTATAGTAACAATACCTGCTAATAGATGATCCCATTTTACATGTAGATATGGCTTCTATGTCAAAGAAGCGATCACTTATCATTTATAAGTTGTAACCAATTTCTTTTACGATCATTATTACTATTATCATTATTATATTTATGATGAAGCTATGGAACAAATAATACAATGTGAGATTATGGAAGAATACAAGGTTTACATAGAAAAGATCAAAGGGCAATAAGTGTGAAGTGCATGTACTGTACATAACTGTACTTGGGAGTGTACTACTAATTTGGAATGACAGAGAGTGAGGTATATTTACTTTTGATATGACATAATTGGCTTGACAATAATGAAAAGGACTCTACCCTAGCTACTGCAATAGGGCTGCCCTCATTATTCACATACACTAGTACACATTCATAACACACACACACAAAATTATGTACATGTAAATGTACATATATACATGTACATGTACATGTAAAGGTATATATACATGTAAGTCTTATCATTATAATAAAATTAAAACTGTATAAGATTTCAAATGTCCCCAGCAGTATACACACATGCAGATATAAAAATAACACATTGGAAATGTCTACAGAAAACTACATGTACATGTACATGTACATGTAGTATATACATGTACCTTACATGCAAATTAACTATAAATATTAGGAGATTGGCAGTTCCATGAAAAAGCTACCACTATTAAGATAGGCTAATTTCAAAAAAGCAATTTGCAAAATATGTCTCATATGCCAATAAATGTACAAAAAGTATTTCTATAGCTACATGTACATGTATATACATTATACATGTACAAGATTCAATTACCGGATTAATGTGTAGTGCAGTGTTATAAGCCTCAACAGCATCCAGGAGGTCACCATTGGCAACAAGAGCAGCTGCTAGGTTAATATACCCATCAACAAAGTCAGGCTTGAGATGGACAGCATGTCTGTAGTGCTGGAGGGCCTGATCCAGCTGTCCTTTCTCTTTGAATACGTTTCCTAGATTAGAATAAGCTTCAGCTAGTGTGAGGTTCTTCTTGATAGCCAGTGTACTGAAATGAGCAGATCTGGAGGAAGAGAGAGGGGGAGAGAGAGGGGAGAGAGAGAGGGGGGGAGAGAGGGGAGAGAAAGAGGGGGGGGGGAGAGAGAGAGTGGATGATGTTAAAAGAGTGAAGGGGGAGCAACGGAAGAGAGAAAAGGTCAGAGTAGGAGACACATAATAAGATCAGAAATGGTCGGTCGGTAAAATTATAACAACACTACCAACACAACACAAATAGACACACAACACAACAGACACTTATATCACACTGCACACACACACATACACACATCAGAACAAAAACACACACACTAGTACATCATTCACACTAAACTAGAGCACACACACACACACACACACACACACACACACACACACACACACACACACACACTAATGACAATTTAACATAAAATACATGTGCAAAATCAAAGATATACAATATACTGTGCATGTAGATGAACATTAAAATTCTACATGTAACTCTATCACACATGTACATGTTAGTTGTACATTGGGACTTACTTCTCAAGTCTCCGGCATTGAAAGTGAATTGAAGAGAGGAGGAGGAGGCAGCCGGTGTTGTCTGGTTCTCTACGCCATAACTCCATACAGAGTCTCTCGGATAAGTCGTAGTTGCCTCTTTGGTATTCTCTATGAGCCATCTCCGCTAACATAACTGAGAGAGAGAGGAGGGAGGGAGGGAGAGAGGGGGAAGAGAGAGGGGGAAAGAGAGGGGGAGGGAGAGGGGGAGAGAGAGGGGGAGGGAGAGAGGGGGAGAGAGAGGGAGGGAGGAAGAGAGAGAGGGGGGGAGAGAGGGAGGGAAGGGGGAAAAGGTGGGAGAGGCATAGCAATTGAAAAGAGAAATTAAAAATCAATTACAAACAAATCAAAACATTAAAGCCTTCAATTACATGCACGCCATACACAAAAAGCCATTATACACTATCAAACACACAACATAGACTCACCAGATTCTATCTTATCCAACTGAGGATAATGGGCAAGGTCATACATCTTTGAGACAGTGTCCGGTGTCAATGGAGTGTGTGGAGACGAACCACTCGAGTAAATAATAGGACGCAATAGAGACATGTCCTCTCCAGCTTAATAACAGAGAGCGACTACTAAAAGTGATGTTTTCTCCTCCTAAATATATAATCCTAGCTTTTTATTGATGCCCTCTAATGATTAAAAATGTTTCCACTGCTGTTGATATTAAGTTCTGTGAAGATAGAGCTTCAGGGGGATGGAGAGCTGGTGTAGAACGATTCACTATATTGTAGAGAAGATTTATGAAGAGAGAGAAGGAGAGAGCTAGTGTAGAGGTTATTCGTACAGTAGAGTGATGAACGATATAAAAGGTGTCGAGAGAGAAAGAGAGAGATGGATCTGACAGTATCTCTTTAGGGCTTTCTCCCTTCAGCTCGGCTACATCTAGTGCTGCAATAAGAGGAGAAAGAGGGTTTCTTATCTGCCGGCAGCCATATTGGAATGCACTATTACTATCAGAAATACTACACATACACTCACTGCCTTACCTTCCCCCTCAATCCTTTACTCTTTTGTGGGATTAATGGACTGACGCCATCAGCTATGAGGAATCCTATTGGTCAATGGGTGCATTCCAATCACGTGACTAGGGAAAAGGCGCGGTCAAAGGCGCGGTCAAAACTCACGCGAGCGCGAGCCTGAGCGGAAATGGTCACGTGGGCTTTAATTAATCACTTGAGTTTTGGCGGGTTAATTAATTTGAATTATTAAAATAAAAATGGCGTCCAACACAGAATCTGATGAAGTTGAAAGTACCCTCCAAACGACGTCTCCCTCTTTAGGAGCCACTACTATAATGCCTTCAGACAGTAGCAGTGCTCCTTGCTCTTCACTCGAGACCACTAGAAGGGATTTAGAAAAATGGCAGCTTTTGCATACAATCCAAATCTTAAAACTAGAGCTCTCTCAAAAGGACGCCATTTTGGATTCCATGAGGAGTGAGCATCTTCAGAAAAAGGATGAATTAGAGGAAGAGTTGTCAGAGCTTCAGTGCGACCATAATTTATTGGCACAGAGATTGAAGGCGCTTAGTAAAGTCTATGAAGTAAATTCTTTACGCATGTACATGTACATGTACATTATGAATTAGAAAAGTTTGATTCTAACACATAATTAATTATTGCATTGCATTATTAGCTAATGATTAATGAAAAATGGAAAATTTCATAATATTATATATTATTAATATTAATAGGACGAGATTCAAGATTTACGTAAGCAATTAGAAGAGAAACATAGACATTCTTTCTCTCCTCCTCGTCCTCCTCCCCCTCCTGTCAGTGATACAGCTAATGAAGAATATATATTAACTCTTTTATCTAAACCGCTACTAACTGATGAATTATACAGAGAAATATCAGGAAAGGATGCAAATAATATCAGTGAACTGATACAAGTGAGACTGATATTGATACTAATATTAAAAATAATACTGATAATTGATACTAATATGTGTTAATACTGATATTGAGTCTGATATTGATACTGATATTGATACTAATAATTCATACTAATATATTAGTACTGATATTAATACTGATATTGATACTAATATATATTGATACTGATGTTGATGCTAATACTCTTGATTGATATTTTACATTATTAGATTCGACTCTATGAGATAACCCATATGTTTGTTAAGGAGACAGAGTGGCTCAAGAAAGAGTATCAGAGACTCAAAACTAATGAAGAAGAGGAAGAAAGAGAAAAGGCTGTGATGACTAAAGTATATGTGACCATGTAGTACATGTGCATGTACATGTACGCAAAAAGATGTACATGTAAACCATGTGTATATGCATGAATTTAAAAATTCAGTATTAGTGGAAAGTTTCTCGTTAACACAAGTACATGTATAGTACATGGTATCAGAAAATGTAATAAAATAGAGATTTTTCTCCTTTTTTATTTTTGATGAAATTTAGCTGAAGATCATGTACATGTACTTGTACTATAGTACAGGCTTTGGTCTAATTTTTAATAACTTTGAAAACTTGTAAAAATTCAATCAACTCAAACTTTCTACACAACATAAGTACATGTACATGTATATCTATCAGAAAAAATTATAAAAATGGATAATTATCACCTTTTATTTTGCTAAACTTCAATGTACTATAATAGTACAGGGACTTTGGCTTAACTTTAAAAATAATTTGTAAAAAAATCCAATTTTGATCGGAATATGCTCAAACTTTCTACGCAACATCAGAAAAAATTATAAAAATGGAGAATTTTTCAGTTGAGATGTCGTCTGAGACTTGCTTAATTATTTTAAGTTATGTACACATGCCATGTACATGTATACATGTACATCAAGAGTACATACATGTAATTATGTACTCTTGATGTACATTATACTCCTTTTACAAAAAATTCAGCTATATAATAGTATATTTTTTTATAAGTTGCTGGTTTTAATTTTTGTCATAGAAATTGGAGGAACTGATGCTTGAAATGGCAGACATGCAGAGTCAGTGTGAGGAGCTCTTGCTTGAGAAGGCACAACTTATCAGCTTCAAACAACACAGCCATTATAAGAGTGAACATTATGACACTGTTAAGAGGTAGTGAGGGAGAGAGAGAGGGTGGGAGGGAGGGAGGGAGGGAGAGGGAGAAAGAGGGAAGGGAGGGAGAGGGAGAAAGAGGGAAGGGAGGGAGAGGGAGAAAGAGGGAAGGGAGGAAACAGAGAGAGAAGGGGATTGGAGAGAAGAGGGACCTGGAGCTTAAATTGAATATACTTACTTGAAATCTTGAATTTTTTCTTTCTTCAGTGAAAGGGATGCATTAGAAAAGGAGCTAGATGTTATAAGGCAAACGTCAATGAAGAGAGAATTCAAGGAAAAGGCTTTAGCAGAAGAGAAAGAGAAGTTGCAAGCAGAAGTAAGTACTGTATATTATAATGTACCAGGAGTCCAGGGGTAGAAACTAAATTCAATTTATCATTAAATGCATTGCAAAATGCACTGGCAGTTGTCATGTAGGTGGGTTGCTAATGTGACCATGTACCACACAGTACAAGACACACCTCAACTTTGACAGTCTCCTTTGAAGTTCAGTGTTATAATGAGATTCATTGATCTGTGGTTTGGTACTTTTTAGACCCACTAGAGCCTCATCTGTTTTCACTGCATATAACAGACTTTTTATTATAACTTAGAGTCAAATTTAAATGTTTGAGCTTTACTTAAAATTTTTGGAAGGGCTTAATGCCCGTATCAATTGTTGTAATGGTTAAAGTGGAAAATTAACTTTGTGCTTTTAATTTTAAAAGTTCAATGGGATGATGGTCAATTTTTGTAATTTTGTGGGTTTACTTTTCATTTTTGGTAGTGCTGGGTGATATTGAAAATTTTGAAATAATACGATATGATACGATAATTGCCCAAAAATGAAGATATCAATATCTACTATCAATAAGTTATTGTACCTTGACTTCTCTTCCTGCACTTGATCACTTTCAATCTATCAACTCACTTGTCTCTTATCTGTTGAGGAAAGGAATGGACTTCTTCAAATCATTCTGAGACCCCTTCATAATCATAATAATCATACAAAGCATGAGTACGTGTGTGTGTGTCTGAATGGAATGAGCTAACTTTTCTGTGATTGTTTTTGCTGGTAGTACACCTGACACAAAGTGCCTTAGCTCAGGTCACTACTTGTATTATGAATACCAGGTATATATTTGTGTCTCCTCATTAGTTATCTCTTCTACTTTATTACACTTCCTCATTTATGGAACTATCTCTCTGCTTTAAGCATCACTTTTGGTCTCACTTATTCTCCTCTTTTAATGATGCACATTCTATTTTAAAGATTCACTTAATTTATTTTCACATTATTTTTAGGCATTAATTTTATCCTCTTCATTAAAAGTTAATGTGATTAATTATATGGGCGTGTCTATGGATTAATTAATTAATTTAATTCATAATGGCTGAAGCCTTTGTCTTTTTAGGGCAAACAACAAGGGCAAATACTGCCTGCCCTACTACTGCCAAGGACTATGAATTATAATACGACTTTCGTCTGTCATAATGAATAACAAAGCTGTTTTGTTTTCACGGCTAAAGCAGTACATGATATCTGGGCAGAGACTAATGAACTCTGGAGACTAACTGGTCACTATAAGCACTCCTAAGAAATGGCTAGCCCTGCACCAGCTGTCGGCATCGATCTGGGTACCTGTTACTCCTGTGTCGGTGTGTTCCAGCACGGGAAAGTAGAAATCATCCCCAACGACCAGGGGAACAGGACTACCCCTAGCTATGTCGCCTTCACTGACAAGGAGCGTCTCATTGGAGATGCAGCAAAGAACTGTATCACCATGAATTCGATTAATACGGTCTTTGGTGCCAAGCGACTCATTGGAAGGAAGTTCAACGATCCTAAAGTAACCGCTGACTGCAAGCACTGGCCATTTGCTGTCGTTAACACTGATGGCCGCCCTAAGATCTTAGTAGAATACTTGGGGAAGACAAAGACCTTCTACGCTGAAGAGGTGTCCTCTATGGTCCTCACTAAAATGAGGGAGACAGCTGAGGCTTACCTTGGGAAGACTGTCACTGATGTAGTCATTACAGTCCCTGCTTACTTCAATGACTCACAACGTCAGGCAACAAAAGACGCCGGAACCATAGCTGGTCTCAACGTCCTGCGTATCATCAACGAGCCCACAGCTGCTGCCATTGCCTACGGTCTCGACAAGAAAGTTAAAGAAGAGAGGAACGTCCTCATCTTTGATTTGGGTGGTAGTAATTTTAGTGTCTCCATCCTTACAATTGAGGACGGCATATTTGAAGTGAGGTCCACTTCCGGCAACACACACTTGGGAGGTGAGGATTTCGATTCTCGCATGGTTGACTATTTTATGAAGGAATTTCAATGTAAATACATGAAGGACATGTCCAGCAATCCACATTCTCTTTGTCGTCTCAGGACCGCCTGTGAGAGAGCTAAGAGGATCCTCTCCTCCAGTGCTCAAGCATCTATTGAGATTGACTCTCTCTTTGAGGGCATTGACTTCTACACTACCATCACTCGTGCTCGTTTTGAAGAACTCAACAATGACCTCTTTTATCGTATCCTCGAACTAGTTGAGAAGACACTCCGTGATGCTAAATTCTACGAAGGTCAAATACATGATATTGTTCTGGTTGGTGGCTCCACTCGTATCCCTAAGATCCAGAAGCTCCTGCAGGACTTCTTCAATGGGAAGGAACTGAACAAGTCCATCAATCCTGATGAAGCTGTTGCTTATGGAGCTGCTGTCCATGCAGCCATTTTGAGTGGAGACAAGAGTGAGGAGGTGCAAGATCTCATTCTCCTTGACGTTGCTCCTCTTTCTCTCGGTATTGAGAGAGCAGGAGGATTTTTCACAGCTCTCATTAAAAGGAACACTACCATCCCAAAGAAAGAGCAAGAGACCTTCACAACTTACTCTGACAACCAGCCGAGTGTCCTTATCCAAGTTTATGAAGGAGAAAGTTTCATGACCAAGGACAATAATCTCCTTGGTAAGTTTGAGCTCTCTGGCATCCCTCCTGCTCCCCGTGGAGTGCCTCAGATCCAGGTTACATTTGATATCGATCGTAATAGTATCCTCAATGTCTCTGCCTCTGACAAGAGTACTGGAAAAGAAATCAATATCACCATCATGAATGACAAAGGATGTCTCTCAGCTGAGGAGATCGAGCGTATGGTCAAGGAAGCAGAAGAGTTTAAGGCTCAAGATGACAAGCAGAGGGAAAGGATTGCTGCCAAGAATTCCCTTGAGGACTACACATTCAACATGAAGAGCACAATGGAAGATGATAAACATCTCTCAGCTGAAGAGATTGATCATACAATCAGGGTGTTCAAGGCTCAAGATGACAACTTTGACAAGCAGGCATTGAACAACTTTGATAAGCAGGCATTGATGCTTTGTACAGTTTAATCTTTATATTTTTGATTTATGCAACTCTACTCTTTTCTTTTAGCTACTGCTTAATTATAGTTGTAATAATATCAAGCACATAAGAGAGGTGCAGTTTTTAATTACCTTAAGGAGACAATTGTTAGTGGGTATTTAATTTAGCAAATTTTTAGCTTAAGTACACGCTAACTTTAATTTCTGATTAAATTATGAATAGTTATTAATATTAAATGATCAAAACACTAAATTAAATACCAGCCAAATGTCAGTATCATGGAAATAAAGTTAGATTTCAATTAATTGATGTTGGCTAGTACGAACATGAATCATATTTAAGTTATGAGTCTAGTTATTTATGGAGTTATCACAGTGCCCGTTATAGTTTGCTTTGGGTTGGTCTGACTCACACTTTCTGAAGGAAAGGCATTAGTGTTTTTTGTTGTGTTTCAGGCAAGAAATCAGTAAAATACATGTACATAATTTTATTGTAGGCTTATACATGTAGTGTGATCCTTGAAATAATACCATACAAGATGATTTATTGGTGGGAGTAATATTAGCGAATTTGCCTGTAGAAAGAAATTGGTGAATTTTATATTGGCAATTTTGTGCCACATGCCATTGAGCATGCTCAGATTGAAACAAAATGGTGGATTTTATATTGGTGATTTCTTCATAGAACTGCCAATCACCAATATTAATTCCTCACCAATAAATCATCTTGTACGATATTTCTCTGAAAATTTTTGGAAGGGCTTATGCCCATAGTTCTATACTAAATTACTAATGATACTTTTCTACATTATGTATGATTTTATGGTATGCATCTATCTTTCCTTATTATTTTCTCTCTCTTTTGCATCTCTTGTTTTTATGACCTTGTGATGAAGCCCCCAAGTCACCCACATTTATGTATTTAGTATCTATCTTAGAATTTCTTTTAGTATTATTAATTGCGGCAATTATTAATTATGTCATATAACTATTAGCAATAATTTACTTAATTGTTAATACTAGCAAAATGCACCACGTCCTAAAATATCAAAATTTAATACCCACAATTAAGGTATGTATGTCAACAATTTCATTTCTCCTTTACACTTTGTATCTACAAAACATAAATTTTATTTAAGTTATGGAGTTAGTTCGGATGGGCTTGTCAATCATGTAGTGAATGTATCTAATGGTTGGGCTGCTCCTGGAGGAGATATTGTCATAAAATGGAGTTAGCATGGTGCACATTATTGTATTATTGCCTTTTCTATTATGCATTTATCCCCTTTACTAATTGCTCTTATCCAGCATTATGTATGTAGTATGCATACATGTATCAACAATTTTTTTGCAAAACTGTTGTCCATGCTTGGAAAAGAAATGAAACAACCTTAAAACTTGCATGGCCATTACATGTACCTTTGAAATGAGAAGTATGGCTTTGTATTTTATGACTGGTTTTGCCGGAACTGTAAGTCTGTTTTTGTGGAGAGTATTATAAGTTTTGTCCACTCAAAGGCAGGTTTAGGTAGCCCCCTATGGATTTTTATAAAGAAAATTTACTTTATTTATTATAGATCAATTCCTCCAATTTGAAAGTTTTAATTAAGAGGTATGCATGCACAGTAGAATTGAAAGACAATCTGGTGTACATGTAGTTAACCAATTTGATCTTGGATTAATTAATTCATAATAGCTGACCAATATTGTCTTTTTTAGTTCTTGCCTTATTGGTAGGGCAAATGTCTACCTATCCTACCATAGTCTGGCTACACGAGACTAATCCTACCACTGCCAAGGACTATGAATTATAATACGACTTTTGTCTGTCATAATGAATAACAAAGCAGTTTCACTTCCACAGCTGAAGCAGTACATGATATCTGGGCAAAGATTAATGGACTTTGGAGACTAACTGGCCTCTGATACGCACTCCTAAGAAATGACCAGTCCTGGACCAGCTGTCGGCATTGATCTGGGTACCACTTACTTTGGTGTCTGTTTCTATTACATCTATGATTGCATGGTTTTTATTTTGCAACTGAGAAAAAAATTTAAAATCCACGAAAATTTGGCTAATTTAAAATTTCTCAGTACATGGTATTAGATTTTCAGTATTATTTTAGTTTTTAATTTAAAAAGGCCTAACTAGTTTAGTTATAATGTTCTAGTTTAGTTAAGTAAAACATTGCTGATACTTTATTTCAGTCAAAAATGATAATTCTGATCTGATTCCAAATCACTGCTTTCTAATGAATACGGTAATGTCACTATAAACTTCAAAAGAACTCGATATCAACCAGCCTTGGCCATAGATTTAATCTTGGCCTCTGTATCAAATTTATATAAATCTAACTAATTTACCCGCGGGGGTGGACGGGGTGGTCTACTAATTTTAATTAATTTGAAGCTCGAAAAGAAACAATGGGAGCTTCATGACTAAAATTATTTAGCCAGGGGCTGCTTCCACTGCTAATTCTCGTCTCAAAAAATCTATAATTGTATAGATATATTATCTGTAGTCCTAAGTGATGTTTAGGCATACCGGAATTGCCATCAGTATTGATCTGGGTACCACTCACTCCTGTGTCGGTGTGTTCCAGCATGGGAAAGTAGAAATCATCACCAACGACCAGGGGAACAGGACTACCCCTAGCTATGTCGCCTTCACTGACACGGAGCGTCTCATTGGAGATGCAGCAAAGAACCAGGTCGCCATGAATCCCATCAACACTGTCTTTGATGCCAAGCGACTCATTGGAAGGAAGTTCAACGATCCTAAAGTAGCCGCTGACTGCAAGCACTGGCCATTTGCTGTCATTAACACTGATGGCCGCCCTAAGATCCAGGTGGAATACTTGGGGGAGACTAAGACCTTCTACGCTGAAGAGATATCCTCTATGGTCCTCACTAAAATGAGGGAGACAGCTGAGGCTTACCTTGGGAAGACTGTCACTGATGTAGTCATTACAGTCCCTGCTTACTTCAACGACTCACAACGTCAGGCAACAAAAGACGCTGGAACCATAGCTGGTCTCAACGTCCTGCGTATCATGAATGAACCCTCAGCTGCTGCCATCACCTACGGTCTCGTCAAGAAAGTTAAAGAAGAGAGGAATGTCCTCATCTTTGATTTGGGTGGTGGTAATTTTAGTGTCTCCATCCTTACAATTGAGGA